TATATCATATATCATCTATAATCTATATTATATATATTATATATATATATATATTTTATTATATATTATATATTATAATTATATATATAATATATAATAATATAGATTATAGATGATATATGATATATGATATATATATATATTATATATGGTATTAACCCGGAACTCTAACAGTAACCCTAAGCTTCACACACTCCCTCGCCATAGCCCTTGTCACATTACACTATATGTAAACCTCGTGAATCGTTTAATCACCAGACCCTCTCGGTGGTTCTCTGTGCAGTTTCGTACACATGCCTCTTTCATCTCCTTCACCTACGGTACACTAGAACATAGATCCTACATGACTCTACCGTAACGTCTCGTTCTCCTTCTAACCATAGACCCTACACGACGCTACCGTAACGTCTCGTTCTCCCACCTCACCTTCTAACCACCATCCTACACTTTTCCTTCCATTACCGTGCATCTCGCTCTCTTTATTAACCGTTCAACAAACCACCGCTAAATCTAATTTCGTACTTCCTCCTCCTTAATCGCCATGCATCCATTTCTATTTACCCATCCACGCTGTTATTTACCCATCTTCACACCCAGCTGTTTATCACCTACGCAATCGCAGAATTTTTACGAACACTACTTATACGATCACACCTATTTTTACCTATGCCCCGCCATCGCTCACTTCATTTCCCCGCTTCGCACCTAAGAATTCCTTCAGTGCAACCCGCACCCACACGCACCTGTCCTGCAGGACTCGGATTCTCAGCTGAAACTCTGTCGAGGGCGCGAATATGAAGCGAGGTACGTTTCTCTCCTCCTTCCCCCAATCGGGACCGATGCGCGAGTTGCGTATGATGATCCTCTCTTCGAAACGGGCATTCATGTGGAAGCCAATAGTGTTGTCACTGCTCTTCGGCCCGCACTGAAGGTTGATGAAGAATCTGCGGACAGGCGCAGCTAGCAGGATTAATTCACCATTGCCATGAACATAAAGGTAAACGTCAGTATACGATGATGCTGAGGAAAGCGAGGTTACGCCATACCGTACGATACAGCGAATAAAAATATGTGATACTTTAACATAATATTATCTGTATGTCAATCAATACCTCAACCTGCTTGTCTGCCAGACTCTGTCTGTCTGTCTGTCGGTTTGTCTGTCTGGCTTGCTGGCTGTCTGTCTGTCTGTCTGTCTGTCTGTATGTCTGTCTGTCTGTCTGTCTGGCTGGCTGATTGTCTGTCTGCCTGTCTGTCTGCCTGTCTGACTGTCTGTCTGTCTGTCTGCCTGTCTGACTGTCTGTCTGTCTGCCTGTCTGTCTGTCTGTCTGTCTGTCTGCCTGTCTGACTGTCTGTTTTCTCGCCTGGCTGCACGTCCGTCAATCTATCCTATTTTGCATTACCACGTGTCCGGTTATTAAACGAAAACATGTGACTATACATAGCCTTTCTCACCCAGTGTTAGTAACATCCTTGAAGGGTACCCCGGTGACGTATATCACAGTACCCACATCCACTGCTCCGGGTATTTCGCCTTGATGCGGAAGACTCTGACCAGAGAAACATGTTAACGTATGAATACATGATGTACGGAATGACTTTTTATCGCTAATGATAGGTCGTGAAAAATGCCAATCAACGGGTTACTAAGGATTTCCATTGTACGTACCAGCGGAGTTGGATTATAGGGATAGAGTTCCATATCAGGGACTTTTAGCGCCTGGAATGAGTAAAAGAAATAGGCGAGAACTATGTCAGCAAAAGTTCAAACTAATTACATTAAATTCATCTCACACGGGACGGAATATATGTAATCTTCAACGATGACAACTTTACAGAAATGTTTAACAGCTTGAAGATCTTTATATTTTTATTACTATATATAGCTACCTTATGCATTACCCCTGCTTATCGATATTGTAACACACAAGTGAGATGATAGCATGTATTTAATTGAACAAATATACCAGAACGGTAACACAACAGTTTGCATGTGCAGACAGCAAATGCATACACAGATTTTATTTTCTATAGTTTAATTTATTCTAAATGTGAACGAACGTTATGTGAACATGAAGCTTCTTGTTACACTGTCTTACCGTCATATTGTTGCCAACCACATGGGATATAACATGCACCATTATTATGACGAATTTCATGTACATGCACATTGTGACGAAATGCACCGAAGCTTCTAATAACTTCCAGCCAACAGAACGTCTAATGAGTCAAACTCCATATACTTATACACCCTTATCATTACATCGTTTGGAATACTGTTATGTCAATCCCACTCCCAGGGACGTTCGCTGTAACCGTTTCGCGATTAGCACGTTTACATAATTATCAAACTGATATAGCGCCGCTACTTACGTCATCTACGTATAAACATTAAAAATAACACACACACACACACACACGCACGCGCGCACGCACGCACGCACCGACGACCACAAGCAGCTCGAAAGCACGGCCAACTAGCAAGCAGGCATGAACGGCACGCCGCGAACACAAACACCAACAACACATCAACCACACAGTAACAAGACACACAAACAACACACCACACAATACACGACGCACTACGAGTACGCACGGCATACGTCGCAGCACCAAGTGCGACACACACACAAACACACCACACACACAACACAAACCACACAAGCACACAACAACCAAAACACAGAACACACAAGACACGGTGGTTGGAGAGTAAAATTTTTCCAAAGTTCAGATGATATTTAAGCATTGATTCGTATTTTTATTAGAACGTCTATATGACTTTCATCGACTGAGTGAACCCAAGTATCTACAGAGAGATGACAGCAGATAGAAGACATCACAAACACACAACACACGGCCGATACGCACGCACGCAAGCATCGCACCCACGCCGCGAGCCGCAAGCAGAACGACGCCGCCGACGCATCGCAACAACACATCACACAACAACACACCAAGATAGACGAGGTTTTGTTGTGGAAGTTACACGCAAATAGCCCGGTAGTGGTTCACCTTAATATAAGAACGGTGAGCGCAGATCCTCTGGGTATTGGGGATAAAGATTGCAAAAGATTCACCACAGTGTGGTTGGGGTGAAAATTTTCCCAAAAGGTACAGAGATGATTAGACATTTATTACGTTTTTTAGAACGTTATGTACTTTTACCGTTTGCGAACCGTCTAGAGTAGGACCGAAGACAGATAGCAGGAGACCACACACCACACACACACAACACACACACACAATACACAAACACAGGTACACACACACAGCCAGACACAACCCACACACACACCACAACACACACACAACAAACACACATTCTGGCGTAGACAGACAGCGTCACTGCTTCTCGCAGAGAACAGACGCGTCATACTGTTTCAGTAGACAGCGCGCTACTCAGGGCGTAGTGCGGGTGGGATGGGGGGATGATCCCCCCCCCCCAATATTTGACGTGAGGGGATGGTTGTTCCTAAATCATCCCCTAACTTCAGTGAGGAAATGGGGATTTCAAAAGTTTTCTGGGTGGAGGACCCGCTACCCGCACCTGTTCTTACACCCTCCTTCGAAAACATTGCATAGGCATACAGAGAGTAACAGAAATTGAGACAAAACCCCCCCACATGAAAATTGTTCCGTTGGCGTCAATGTAGAGTATGCTAACAAGATTATGATTATGAATTTTTGTGGGCATATCAAAGTCATTTTGAGTTATATCTGCGAGGGGCATAGATTAGCGGGGGGATGGGGGTATTGCCCCCCCCACACTTATTTGATGGTTGGGGTGGCTTTCATCCCCCCTACTTTCGGTAAGAAAATGGGGAAAAATTATTTTTACAGACATAAAATATGGATATTTACTTACAAATCCGTCCATCCCCGCTATATTCATACTTTCATAATGTATTAGTTACAGAAATGGACGTGCGCTGTCAAAATGCGCTGTAACTCGTTCAGAAATGACATTTTTTTACTTGAACTTCAGACGGTTAATTTTTAGAACGGTTCCCATAACGATTTTTTTCAAATCCCAAAGTCTTTCTGCTTCGACGAAGTAAAGTCTTGCGTTATTCAAAATGTATATAGCTATTGAGAGTTGGGCTGTTGAATTTCACGGGATTTGATGGCGGAAATTTATTTATCTCCTTTTTTTGGGGGGGATGGGTGGTGACTGAGACCGACGGGAAGTATATATGTGCAGATTAAAAGATGTAATGTTTTTTTTTTTCCCCCTTATACAAATAGGAAATATAATATTGATTTATGTATAAGGCAGTGAAGAAATGGATTTTTTGTTCAAATCGGTTGTTTTTATATTTTTTTTATGCAGTTTTAACGTTTCAGTAAAATTACGTTTTTCAAATTTCATGGAGTTTGATTCCCGTGCTGTAGTTTAGTTCAACGAGGAGTCGGTAGCACCTGAGGCCCGCCCCCCCTAGAATTTTTCAGGTTCAAAGAGTTAATTTGCCTATGTAAGTTGCACTGGTAACCCAGTGGGCTGTAATAGCCAGATTTCGGTTAGTAAGTAGATTTAGTCCTTTGGTGTCTAGGTAAAAAATCAATCACAGTGATGTTTTGGTGATGAATATTTGTTTATAGTGCTTGCTCATAATGCAGGAATTTGATCAAGAGAGTTACTTCCACAAGTTCCCGGACACCCCCCTTAAGGGGGGCACGCCCTGAAATGGAGGCGAAAAATGCTGCTTTCTATGATAGAGATGTCCAAAATTGAGCTTCTTTTTAGATTGCACTTTTCAACAATTAACACAATGGGAGGGGTGACACCCCCTCCCGTGGAATTTCGTGCTTGAGCTGCATGATTCGCCACCCTTCAATTTTCTTCTGGGATATTCGCATGGTGTGTGTATGTGGTGGGGTTGGTGTTATTAACTTTGGGATACAGAAATATTACTAGAATTCAATTTGATTTACAATATCATTTTTTCATTCCCTCAAAACGGCCATTAAACGAGGTTTAATTTCTAAATCAGAGGTTCGGGGGGTCGGCTGGCCCAGGAGGCTCTGCTTGCACCTGACAGAGGGCTAGGGCGGCCTATGGCGCCCACCATTAGGGTTTTTCGCCAGGCGATCGCGCACTTTCATATACATTGTCATAGAAGTAGAGCAGCGAAATATCCCCACAAAACTGAGGACCTGTTCTACTGACTTCGCTCATGCATTATCCAGTATGACAGACATGCTCATGTCTCGCAGTAGACAGACGGCTTCTTACTGCTTCTCGCCCAGTAGACGCGCTCATGTTCTCACGAGTGACAGACGCGCTCACTGTTCTCACAGTTAGGACAGACGCGCTCACTGTTCTCACAGTAGCAGAGACGCGTCATGCTTATCACCAGTAGACAGACGCGTCACTGTTCTCGCAGTGACAGAAGCGACTCACTGTTCTACAGTAGAAGACGTGTCGACTGCTTCTGCGAGTTAGACCAGACCGCAGCTCACTGCTTCTCAGCACGGTAAACCAGCACACAGCATACACTAGACTACGACAGCAAGACAGGAGCACGCGCTCATATGCTTAATACCAGAGTTAGACAAGCGCTCCTGCTTTACAGGTAGACAGACGGCTCACTGTTATCACAGTAGAAGACGCGCTCACATGCTGTTGCAGTAGACGACGGCTCACTGGCCTTCTCGCAGTAAGACGCGCACTCTCGCTTATACACCAGTAGAGACGCGTTAATGTTTCACGTACGGAAGTACGCGTCATGACTTCTTCACGGTAGACAGACGCGCTCACTGCTTCTCGCAGTAGGCGCCGCTGCACTTGCTTCTCGCAGTAGACGCACCGGTCACTGCCTTCTCACTATGTAGCAGACGCGCTCATGCTTCTACAGTGACAGACAGTCTCATGCTTCTCGCAGTAGACGCGTCACTGACTTGCTCGCAGTAGGACGTGCTCCACTGCTTTACAGTAGACAGACCCCCCGCGCTATGTTTCACAGTGACAGAGCGCTCATGCTTCTCACAGGTAGCAGTACGCGCATATGCATGCTTCTCGCAGTAGGAGACGATCACTGACTCTCAGTAGACGCGCTCAATGATTCTACGGCAGTGACGCGGTCAATGCTTCTCCACAGTGACAGACGCGTAATGATTCTTCACAGTAGACGACGCATCAATGCTTGCGCAGTGAAGACGTCGCTCACTGCTTCTGCGTAGACGCGCAAATACTGCTTTACTCGATAGACGCGCACTGATTTCGCAGTAGACAGACGCCGGCTTACTGTTCTCGCATAGACGCAGGTAGATGCTTCTCGCATTGGACCGCGCTCAATGCTATTTCACAGTAGACATGCGCGCTCACTGCTTCCTCGCAGTAGACGAGGCGGCGCTCACTGTTCTCACAGTGAGACAGTACGACGGCTCACTGCTTCTCGGCAGTAGCAGACGCGCTCCAATGTTCTCACAGTAGACGGGCGTCACTGGCTTATAACAGTTAGACAAGACGCCGTCCACTAGCTTCTCGCCAGTAGATATGCGCGATCACTGAGGCTTCTCAGCTGTGACAGACGCGCTCACTGTTCTCACAGTAGACAGACGCGCCTCATGCTGCTTTAATTTCACAGAAATAGACCGACGGCTCGATGTTTCAATGTGGACAGACAGAACCTTATGTTCTCACGTATGACAGCAGCACTCACTGCTCTCACAGTAGTAAGGACGCGCTCACTGCGTTCTCACATGTAGACAGACAGGCTCAGCTGCTTCTCACAGTAGACGACGCGCTCACTAGCTTTCACAGGAGACAGACGCACTCACTGAATTTACAGGTAGACGACGCGCTTCACTGCTTCTCGAGTTAGAAATACGCGCTCTGCTTCTCGCAAGTGACAGACGCTTCCTGCTGCTCACAGTAGTCAGAACGCGATCATGTTCTCACATGTAGACAGACTGCCAGATATGTTTCACGTAGACAGACGCGGTCACTGCTTCTCACAGTAGCGACCGGTCACTGCCTTCTCACAGTAGAACAGACTGCGCTCACTGCCTTCTCGCAGTAGACGCTCACTGCTTCTGCAGTAGACGACGAGCTCATGCCTTTACAGTAGGCGCAGCGGTCACTGCTTCTCGAGTATAGACAGAACGCGCTCACTGCATTTCACAGTAGACAGAACGCGTCATGTTCCACGGTAAGGAAC